AAAACAGTTGACATGGTTCCTTGTCTAAAATCTTCTTGAAAGAATTGTGTTAGGTTCTTTGTGAAAAAAACTTGTTCTTAATCTAATTTTTGGTTGATTTTGGAGAAGAATGATGTTTAGAAGTGAAAATGTTTTGAGATTTTCTTGGTTCTGGTTTTAGGTTGTGGGTGGACAATCGTCGTCTCGATCGGGTAAAGGAAGAAATGATGAAGGTTTGATCAAGTATGGCTTTAGTCTAGTTAAAGGGAAAGCTAACCATCCTATGGAGGATTACCATGTGGCTAACTTTATCAACATCCAAGGCCATGAATTGGGGCTTTTTGCTATTTATGATGGTCATATGGGTGATAGTGTCCCTGCCTACCTCCAGAAGCACCTCTTCTCCAATATCATCAAGGAGGTAAAGGTTACTGTTTTCTATGGGCATGGTTTATGTATGATTATTGTGTTGATGTATTAACCGTAGGCGTAATTGTTTTTATTCAGGGAGAGTTTTGGGTCGATCCTCGAAGGTCTATTGCAAAAGCTTATGAGAAGACTGACCAGGCGATTCTATCAAATAGTTCTGACTTGGGTCGTGGCGGGTCTACAGCTGTGACTGCTATATTGATTAATGGGAGAAAGTTGTGGGTAGCTAATGTTGGTGATTCCCGAGCAGTTCTTTCTCGAGGAGGTACTACAACGCAGATGAGTACGGATCATGAGCCTCGTATTGAAAGGTCAAGCATCGAGGATAGAGGTGGATTTGTGTCCAATCTACCAGGTAAAGGACTAGTCTGATACAGTATATTGAAATCATGTTTTTTGTTTTCTTCATTTGATCATATCTAATGATTGTTGACAAGGATGGTTGTTATGATCTTACAGGTGATGTTCCTCGGGTGAATGGTCAATTAGCCGTGTCTCGTGCCTTTGGAGACAAGGGCCTTAAGACACATCTGAGTTCAGAACCTGACATAAGAGATGCCATTCTAGATAGCCAGACGGATGTTCTTGTCCTGGCCAGTGATGGCATTTGGAAGGTAATGGCTTCTTATTTTCTGTATATATTACAACATCGACCGATCTTGCTTTCGAATGAAACTATTATTCATTAGCTGAGTGAGTGTATTGAGACCAATTTTTCTGATAATTGAAATAATGTTTAACAGGTGATGACAAATGAAGAGGCAATGGATATAGCTAGAAGGGTGAAAGATCCGCAGAAAGCGGCAAAGGAATTAACAGCTGAAGCATTGAGAAGAGAGAGTAAAGACGACATATCTTGTGTCGTAGTCCGATTCAGATAACAAACTCTGAAACAATGGTTCCTAATATATTAAAGCCGCATTTTCAATCAAGATTCATCAGGACACAAGCTTGTTTTCATTGGATTCGACGACGATGATTTTGGTCCGGTTTGGACCAGTCTAAGTTTCGATTTCTGACAGCTTTTTGCAATATAGCTTTATGTGCGTTCGTTGTGTAAATTGTGTTTTAAAAGACGGCAAGAAAATGATAAAAAGTGAGAGAGGAAAATGGGTTGGTGGTGGTGACTGGTGGGTGATGGAGATTGTGTTATTATTATTGGTTGATTTGTTATTTTAATCGTCTGGGATATATAAATATTTAGGATATATTTTAATATATGTGAGTACTTTTGGATTAGGTTTGCATATGTTAAACAGATATATTTTATTTGTATGAGATTTTATATATTGCCAAACAATAAACAAAATTTATCCTTATCGTTGCTGTAGGTAACCGTCACTAATCATTATCCTTGAAAGGATTACAATATGATGAATTAGTTTTTATTTATTTATTTTAATGATGATTTAGCTTATGTTTACTATTTGAATGGTCATATAATACCACTTTAATTCAACAAAAGTGTTCAAAAACCCAAATGGCCTGGTGTCTAAATTCAACAACAAAGAAGCAAACTAAAGCGTATAACAGATTCCAGCAAAACATAAAGAGAGTTGGACGATACGCAGTGTTGTGTTGTAGAACGTCAAATATCTGAAAACATCATAAAGAAAGACATAAAATAACAGTACACATTTTCCGTGTTTAGAGCAACGACATTTGCTGTCTTCAGTTTACGATTCTGGATGCCATCAAGAGTCGTTTCTCTTCTCACAGAGGAAGGATTCAATTCTGCAATGAACCAGTACTTGCATGAGCCTCTAGTTATCAATGCAAAGGAACAATACTCTTTTGACTAGATTAAAGTTTAACAAGAATGACTTTTTATACCTCTTCTTGAGGCTCATCACCTTTGGATCGCTCATCTAAGAGAACGAAAAAATGAAAAAAATTGAGTGTAAGCAGCAGATTCAAAGTCATTCAAACGCCAAAAAAGTCTTGGAAGAGACTCAAGACACTAGTATGCTAATTGTTTGAATGTAAGCTACAAACTTGTAGCTTCTACAAAATTAGCTAGAATACAACAACTGTACGTTTTGTAATTAGAGCCCGCGAAAACAAGTAGATTGCTATTTTTTGTTCCTTAAAAATGAAAGATCCGCAGAGCATCTAGGTCGGTGTAATGCAAATCTATAACAGATGGTTAATGATTTCGAGTTCCCTCGCATCCAAATTTCCGATCAAAGTTGAGGCACTTAACCATTCGAGAATGAACAAGATTCAAAAGGCTCATGTGATTCTAAGGAAGCTATCTATCATCAGATGAAGATTGGGGAACAAAAGGCTTACCTCCTTCCTCTGTGAGGTCAGAAGTCCACAAGGTGAGATTGTCTCTAAGTAGCTGCATAATAAGAGTGCTGTCCTTGTATGATTCCTCGTTCAGACTGTCAAGTTCAGCAATTGCATCATCGAATGCTTGCTTAGCCAATTGGCATGCGCTGTACAACACAGTTACAGACTGTTAGAAAGTGTACCACCGATTCAATTATATGCTCTTTCAAATAGTAAGCGAAAGAAATATTAAACCTCTCAGGAGAGTTTAAGATCTCATAGTAGAAAACGGAAAAGTTCAAGGCCAAGCCAAGCCTAACTGGATGTGTGGGTGCCAAACCAGTCTCTGCAGCAGCAACAGCAGCCTAGATTGCCAGTACCGAAAAACAAACATATTGTTCAATTTTTTTTTAGCTCAAAGATAAGAGGGAAGGCACAAAAACAAACAAAGACAAACACGATCCAAGGACCTTATATGCCTCAAGAGACTGATCTGCAGCTTCCTTGCGTTCAGCACCAGAGCTGAACTCTGCCAGATAGCGATAATAATCTCCTTTCCTACATAGAAAGAACATAAAAGTAAAGCCAAAACAACGCAACGTACATGAATCTCAGACCAGTAGATCAATTTCATTCAGGAAGAAACATAAGAAAGAGCTTAAACAAACAACTCCGGACAAATGAATATGATAAACCCCAAAGTCTCATTCTTAGTCAAATTTTGCACCATCAAGTAACCACAACTATCAGATGCACGGTACATTTACTTAAGGTCATACTTGGTTCAAAAATAATTATAGAGTAGATAAGCACATGATGACTCACATTTTGTAGAAAAAGACAGTTGACTCCACAGCGTTAGACGAAGGAATGAGGTGCTTGTCGATGACGGACAAGATATCATTACAAACTTTGGCAAGCTCATCTTCAACCCTCTTTCGATAATTCTTAAGCCGCTTGACATTTTCCTCATTTCCCTTGGACTCTTCCTTCTGCTCAATGGATGATAGTATTCTCCATGAAGCTCTCCTTGCTCCAATCACATTCTTGTACCCAACAGAGACTAGATTTCTCTCCTCTACCGTGAGCTCCACATCAAGTTGAGCAACTTTCTTCATCGCCTCAACCATTTCTGCAACAAATATCTCAATGTATTGAACACTTGATGGCCTTAATAAGAAAGTACAAAGCTAACTACATAACTCAAATCACAGAGAAAAACCCGATCAGTGATCTAGATCTTGACCTATCCAATGAGCAGAACCAAATGCAAATATTTAGCAAAGAAATGTAGCAAAAAAAAAAACCTTCAAAATATCAAAGTATCAAAGCAAAAATTGAAAAACATAGATCTATGTCAGATCATCAGCCACCTTTGTATAAGCATGGAGACATGGTAAGAGATTCGATAAAGTAAATCATATAATTCTATCAACACAAGATCAAGACTGATCAGAGAAATTTACATATGGGATCGTCTAAATCTCTAAATTCAGATCAACTAGCAACCGAGAAAACACACAAATCCGTAAGGAAGATTCAAAGAAAATGAATGGAAATGTAAACACAAATCTAGTAGAATCAAATAATTTTATCATTTCATCGGAGCAACAAAAGATCTGAGATTTTCAGAAACGTCCCTAATCGTAAAGAGTGAGAAACAAAATACCATCGTATCTTTCGGTTTGCTCAGAGAGCTTCGCCAAGTAAACTTGCTTTTCCCTCTCATTCTCCATGGCTTCGTCT